GTCCCCAAAGAGCAAACAGGCCTTCTCCCCACCGTTCAACTTCAAGGCCCATAAAAAAACGCTGCATGAGAAACCCTCCCTGATGGGTTCAGAGTTAGGCTCAACTTCTAACCAGTGCACGTGCATTTAAGCCTTATGAGGCTATAGTTTGTAAATGTAATTTAAAATAGTTCAATACTGCTTACATACAGGTGAGAACTGACACTTAATTGGTATCACACATGAGGCGATATACATGTCCCTGAACATTTCTGTATCATGTAACATACATACTCAGCCTCTGTTACTACGATTGGTATGTTCTTCAAAGAGCCTTTCCCCAGAAAATCGCTGCACTGATTTTTAAACTTGGGTGTAAAGTTGCCAGAGAACAATTCTTTTGAGATGAGCTTGCATTCTTTTCCAAGGAGATTAGCGTGTGAGCTTGCCCTTACTTTAAGAAGAGGAATGCGTTATGGGTTGCCCACAGACTCCTTGGATTAGCCAGGGGAGGGGCTTTCTGTCAAGGGGCAGGGGATGAGCGGAGCTTCCCTCCGGACCTGTTCCACAGCACATTCTGCACGTGAACTCCTATGGAACGACCTGCACCCAAACCTCCAGAGCCTCAGCTTCATACCGGCTGCCACATGCTTGTATGTAAACAATGTGTGCACACAGAGAAACTAATTCGGCACCACCTTAAAAATAAGAGTAATTGTGACTTTGGCATATCCTTTCAGGACAGTGTTGTGCTGAGTCAAATTTATGTTCCATTGTAATGGAATTTAGACTTTTCTGAATTAAAATGAGCAGTTTTACATCATCTGGGTAGAAACTTTAAATTACTAAGTGAATAGGTAGGTATATTTTCCAGGATTCCTTACTCGGCTTTATTACACTGTTATTTTCAGGACTCACTGTTCAAGTAAACACAAATATAATATGGCAGAGTTAGTAGGAAAATTGTCATTTCAAATCCAAAGAGTCTAAAACTTGGAGAGTTTAAAGCAATATTGGTTTTAAAAGCACACTTTTACACAGAACTGGTAAGAAAAGAAGAACAAACAAGGCTTCGTCTTTTTCACTTCTGTAATTTCCTTACTGTAGGGTATAGAATGACTGTCAAGTCAATGAAAAGCCTAACATCCAAGGTTTTCTAAGGTATGTGATTGGTTCTCATTAACATAATCTAGGCATATAAGCATTTTATTTTGCATATTAACATTTCGTTGCAAGCAAGAGAAAATGTCCTAAACATTTTTTGACAACCTTAAAAAAATTGAAAAACGTTCTCATGCTCTTGTGTTTGTGTTTTTCAGGAACTTGCAAAAGCAGGTGATTTTCACCAGTGAAACATGGAAGGGGCCTGGGTCTTCTTAAAAGGCCAAAAATAGAACTTTAATGATTGCAGCATAATCCCATAAATTGTAAGTGAACAACAAAACCTTACACCAGCACACAAAAGTCCTGGCTCCCAATGTGATGTTTTAACCCTCAAAGACATTATTCACCAGCCAAGAAACACCTTGAATTGACAGTTTTTCATGGAGACTTTATTACAGATATATGCATGTATCTTCTGTGAAGTATAAAAAAGAAGTATATTACCTAAATGTTTCAGTTCTTTACTTTAGCTTCTTGTAGTTTGTTTTCCCTAATGAATTTCCTTTGAATTAACTAATCATTTAAGTGCACTAGATTTCATTTGAACGTTTTGATTAAGCCACGTGAGCCCTGCTAACACAATCTACATGGAGCACCTTCTCAAGCCTTCGTTTTCATCCCAGATATGTGAGTACTGCCGGCAGCAAGAGTATCCATGAAAACGTGCTGCCACACACATCACCTCTGGGAGAACAGTACGAAGCTGTCAAAACAGGAGGTAATGTGTGCTCCTGGTGTGTTAGCATGATTAAAACATTTCTTTCTACAATAATTCATATTCTGATGATGATCATTTCATCTGATGTTTTCTACACAATAGAAAGAAGGGTGAAGAGGTGGGGAGGATTTTAATACCCATCTACTTGACATTTTTACTTGCATGTCATCAATTCTTTGAGGAGGGGAAAAAAACCTTTCTGCTGTAACTATCATGTTTTGACGTACACATAGTGATTTTCTCATTCTATGCTAAAATTAAATTCAACTTAATGACCTGACCCTGTTTCTCATAGATTAAAAGTTGAATTTCTAAAAATGCACAGCTGTTATCTTTTCAGATTTGTCTTCTCTCTCGATCAAGTTAAAATTCTATCAAAATAAAATCTAAAAACTTATCATTTTAAAACACAAAACATCACTTGGAATTGTTTTGGTTTTTATCTTGTTAAAATGAAAAATAACTTAGAACCATAAATTGCACGCAAATAAAATTAATTTTATTTCATTTTGTTCTCACAAAGAATAAAAATTAAGTTACTATAAATACTGTATGAATGGAATTTACAACATAAATCTGCATTTATATACCTTTCCATAATTTAGAGTTTCAATTAAAAAATTCACATCTAAATTGTCAAAAACCATGTAAGATCATACAACATATATTTAGATAAAAACTAATTCATTGATTACCTCCATTCTCTTACATTGTCTCTTGTAGCTTTTCGGGGAAAAAAAGTCAATATTTGTGACATTAATGAAACCACAACTAAAATAAGGATCTATATCACAGGCCATAAAAATTTGATTATGGAAATCTCTGGGTAGCTTTCTTATTTTTACTTTTTTATATTAATAAAATATTAATATACTGAACAAAATGATAATATACTGAACAAAATTTAAAATAGTTTGTTTCACAATAACTTGAATGCATTCTTAAGCAAAACTGCCCTGCCATGTAATGTATTTTAAAAAAAAATAAATATTTGAAAAGTGTATCCACAATGATCCTAAGAAATGGTTTTGAATTCCCGAGTCCCAAGGAGATGAATTGGCTGTCAGATAACAATGCGCTTCCATCAGATGGACTTGGCAGTTGTAAACAAAAGGAATTTTCTCAGGTTTTCCTCACAAATATGAAATATTTGCTCTCGGCCAACAGCTGGGGTGATTTAAAGAAGTCCTGCATATATATTAGTTTTCATTCAATATTCCAAACCCCTCTCCCACTCTGCAACATCTGACTGCATCTTGGCAGGACAGAAAATTGCTCTGAGCTGAAGTACCAGTCCCAGGGAAGTCACAGGCAGAGACTTGCACCTACTTACAGCTCTCATCCAACTTCAGATCAGAAGGCATCTGGTTAATAATTTTTAGGAAAAGTTAATTTATTCAAGATGAAAGTGTGAATCATATTCTAGAGTTGACTTGAAAAATAATGAGAAAGTTTGCTATACTGCAGTCTTCCTGAAAATATTTAAAACTATTAGATAACCACAATAGAAACTGCATAAAAAGCCATCAAGTTTCCTTCAAAAATCTGGAAGATGTTTAAGGATCAAAACCTACAGATGTCCATGTGGTGACTAGTTACGTCGAGTTATTTGTGAAAATACTCCTAATGTTTAAATGATAATTTTAAATTATGTATTCATCTCATTAAGCATTAAAAATATACTGATGCTTCTTTTTAAGTGAATGAACTAAAATTACCTTTGAAAAGGATTTACTAGGAATTAGTTATTCATAAAAGCCTATGAAAGAAATCTAAGAATAAATATTTTCAGAGTTTTTTATATATTAAGAGAACTTATGGATTTTATTGTGAATTTAATCAAATGCTTACCTTATTTTTATTCCTATCCCTCAAACTAGCTCAAAGTAGTAATTTTAAACTTATTTTGAATTCCACAATAACATAAAATTGATCATGGATAAAATTTTATAGTAAAATAAATTAAACATCTCTCTGTTTAATTTATTTGAAGTGATAAGCATGTACCCTATATATTTACAAATATCGTAGGAGCTGACAAGCAATGTCCTACTTAGAGACAAGTGCACGGAATTAACTTTTGCCCAGTTAATGTGAATGTACTAAGCCTTTAAAATGGACTTCATATTTCATTATTTTAAGTGTTCTATTTTTACCTAAAGTGTCTGTTGAAGCAGGCACTTTAGGTAAAAATAAAACACTAAATAATCATTAAAATAATCATTGTTACTTTTAATAGAGCTATATTTGCCCTTAAAATGCAAACCTGGTAAACTTGCATTATCAAGACATATAAGGCATGGAATTCATATATCAAATAACAAAGTGTGTAATTTATCCTAATTATTTCAGACAGAGGTTTTTGTCTCCTGCAGATATACACTGTAGATATAAAATAATAATGATCCTCGAGCAATATATAATATACACCAATCCTTAAGATTTTGTGTTTAAAAATATGTGTATATATTTTAAAATCTAAAGTACACATTAGATCTTGTGGAAAAAAGAATCGATGTTAAAATGACCACTTCTTAATAACATAATTCTTATTTCACTTCTACTAATCTTTATATTACTTGTCCATCAGAAATATGTAGCAAGTTACTAGAATATGAAATATAATTGTGAATGAAAATAATTAACAATATTCACCATAAGTGTTAAATATCAGAAAGCAAATCTTTATCATTAAGAATTTAAAATATTTCTTCAAATGTCACTAATGACACACAAAGCAACAGCATGGAAATGAAAATACTATCAGCAAAACTTCTTTTCCATATGCACCATAAATGCAAATAAAATTACCACCTCTCTTCCTACACAAGCAAATAAAACAAACTAGATCAACAGTAAGAAAACCATGTCCATCTCTTAAGTACCAAAGCAGAAGTTATCAAGGAAGTATGTGTTGCAATAAAGTAAGTCTGGCTCTTTTAGCTTTATTTCAAGTTAGTCCTATTTGTGTAAAAATTCTACAGTCTGTTTCTAAGTTAGTCTGAAAGCCACTTAGTCAACCTCTTGTTTCTATAAATTTTCAAAGACTAAGACATGAAATTAAAGACATGACCTTTGAAATTGAAGTATTTTTGAAAATACAGTTATGTCATCCTAAGTTTGAAGTGAAAACACTTACAGTCTCTCCAGTTCTTTCAGATCCTGGAACGCTCCCCTTTCGATGGTGCTGATCTTATTCTCCATTAGCTGACTGAAAAGCAAAGAGTAACAGGAGTCTTAATGCCACCTCTCCCCAGCTGAGTGAGTCTCAGTGCAGCAACGGAAAGCGTGCAACCTCTTTCCTGTGAGAAAGTTAAAGCTCCTGCTGGTTTGAGAGTCAATATCAAATTTAAGAATGATTTATTTGAAACAAGTCAGGGAAGGGAACTAGCACCCACATCACGAAACTTTCACTTAAAAAATCCTCAAAAAGTTTGTTGAGAAATGTACTGGTCAAGACTCTGAACCTTAAATTACATACAGTGTATTCTCCAGGACAGCCCATGCCTCTGCAGGTTTTATGGCTGCTTTTTTGGTAAACTTACTTTCAACTGAGGCCTCAACTAAGAGAATCAGTGTATAGTAATTCACCATACACATACTTCAATTCACTTTCATCACAAGTTGGAGGAATTCATCATGGTCAAAATGTGTCTTTTAAAAAATGAACACTAAACACACAGTGATCAAAAGTACATGTTCACTGTGCTGTAAATATTTACAAATCTGTGGGTAAAAGAATTTTACATTACATTGAGCCTCCAATGATGTGCACTCAGAATTAATTTAACCCACTAATTAAAGAAGTATAAAATTACAACAATTTTATAAAAGCTACAAAGATATAAAACATAAGAAACAATTCAAAATATGGCCAGTGTACTTTTATAGACAAACATTTCCCATCATAAACCCTGAAAAGCTGGATTGCTTGATTTTAATTTTAGAAATTATGTCTGGGTTGTTTGCTAGAAAAGGCTGGACTTTTCTATATTAGTAATAAAAATGCAGACCCACTTAAAATATTTCTAGTTAATCTCAAATCCTAAAAGTGCATCAAATATCTCACATTACTTATTTATACTGTGAAGCAATTATTTTACATTTTTATATACATAAGGCACATGGGGTATGGTATCACAAACACTTGAGGTTATTTCTATAAGACTGTTTCTATGGCCTGCATCCTACCTTAAAATAAAAGCCTACAGTTTTATTAAAAGTTGTAGTACAGTGATAAACTAGAAAAGAAAGGGAACCAAGACCTTTTAAATGTTGGTTTCTGTCAGAGACAGTTTTCAAACCTGAGATCAGTAATGAGTCAAAATATGCAAGCTTAAAAAACAAAAGAAAAATTCATCAAAACACAGAAGAAGAACATACTTACAGAACTCTTAGATGTCTAAGACCAGCAAAGTCCATTTTGGTAATCCGTGTGATGTTATTTCCATTCAAATCCCTGAGAGAAAACAAGTAGGAAAATGAAAGTTCCACTTTATTTCTATCAATATCTAGTTAAACAAAGAAAAATATAAACTAAATAAGAACTTGATTAAAGATTAGTTCCAATGACTAAAGTAGTTTACAGAGAAAAAGAGAAGAAGGGAAGTAACCTTTGAAAGAATTTTTTAAAAATGATTCTCAACAAGTTTACAGAGTCCGTGCTTGCTGGCATGTGACAAGAAAATGAAGTGGTTATGTTATCACAAGAAGTTCTGGTTTGTGTGTGTATGAGAGTGCTTTCAACCTTTGGGCGGGGTTTTGTTTTGTTTTGTTTTTCTTTAATCATTTTTACTTTTTCAATTACAGTTGATATACGACATTATATTAGTTTCAGGTATACACCCCAGTGATCAGATATTATATAGCTTACTGAGTTATCATCCTGATAAATCTCGTGCCCATCTGACACCATGTATAATTATTAGAATATTATTGACTATGTTGTACTTTACGTCTCTGTGGCTATTCTGTAACAACCAATTTGTACTTTCTTAATTATTTCACCTTTTTCACCCCACTCCGATCTGGCAACCATCAAAATGTTCTCTGCATCTATGAGTATGTTTCTGCTTTGCTTGTTCATTTATTTTGCTGCTTAGATTCCATTGTTGATATGTATTTATTGCCACTTTATTTATATTTTTTTCTTTTTTTTTTCTTCTTCCTAATGAAGACCCTTTAACATTTCATGTTGTACTGGTTTGCTGGTGATGAACTCCAAGAGCTTTTTCGTGTCTGGGAAGCTCTAGGTATGTCCTCCGATTCTAAATGATAGCTTCCTTAACATCATGAAGAAAATAGTCACACAAGTCCAGGAAGCATAGAGAATCCCAAACAAGGCCCAAACCAAGATGCACCATATCTAAAATGCAAAAGGTTAAAGACAAAGAGAGAATCTTAAAAGCAGCAAGAGAAAAGCAGGTAGTTACCTGCAAGGGAACTCCCATAAGACTGTCAGCTGATTTCTCAACAGAGACTTTGCAGCCCGGAGAGTGGCAAGAAATCGTCACAGTGCTGAAAAGCAAGGCCTTACAACCAAGATTTCTCTACTCAACTTCTGATTTTATAAGGTGTGTGTCTATAACTTCACATGTATTCTGCTATTTACTATTATTGCTAGGCACACCCCATAAAGTTCCCTTCAAAAAGTTAAATGAACGATATTCTAAAACTACCCAAGAAGAAATTTTGAAAATCCAAAAAGGCTATCCTGAGGCGGCAGGGTGGCTACCCTTCCAAAGGCAAGGAAAAAGGTAGACTGCCCTCAAAAGAGCTGCACTTCAAAGACTTGCATTTATAGGCATTTACTTTCCAACAATTCCGTGTTTGTATGAAAACTAAACTCTTCATTTTCAGCTCAGGGAACCCCTGCCGTGACTGCAATGTGAAAACTACTAGCGGGAGCAATAATGGAAATAGTATTCAGGCCCTGACTTTTTTACTCAGATTTCAGCACCATGTTTCCTTCGAGAGTCACAACCCCTTTCCTGGCATCTTAGGTCAAGATCTAAACTTGCCCTGGTTCCAATCATTTCAAGTAAAACCAGGCTTTGCTGCGGTTTGAATGCTCTCCTTCACGGAAGTAAGTTTTCTCTTACCTTGACTTGAAAATATCGTGTTTAAAATCTGTGTTTAATGTGTTTATTGTATCAAAGATAGAATTTTATAAGCCAGCACTGAGTAAACTATTTTCTAAAAAATCTTTATAGATTCCTCATAGGGATTTTTTTTTTTCCCAAGACTTTACACTCAATTGCTATTTTGTCCCTTTTATTGACTGAGCTACGTTGGTGCTTAAACTTTAAACTGTTCTGAATAGCATGGAAAGACAAATGTTGAAACAAAATTCTGCACTGCTTTCTCCACAACCCACTTTCCACGCTCAGGAAAGTACCATCAAGCACTCCTACAATTGCTGGGATCTCTCACCCGCTGTCTGACATAACACGAATCCCTACCCACCCACCCCAACCCCAGAGAAACGTGGTGGTTCACATTTTGACAAGACACCCTCCGTAGGGCCGCGACTTGCCCACAGCCGCGGGCCTGGGAAGGAGTGCCGCTGGGGGTGGGGGAGCCATTTGCAAAGGCTCAAGGGCTCAACTCTGGCCTTTACACCGAGGGCCAGGCAAATGGGTTAGGTAAGTGCAGCCGACGGGCTGCGGCCCTGCGGGTGAGGACGAGCGGATTGGAGCCGGTCCTCTGCGCGGCAGGCGAGCCTCAGACCCCCGGGAGCGTAGAGGCCCGAGACTGGAGTCGAGGAGGGCTCGCCCGGGCTGCCCGTGTCCCGCGCCGCCGCGACCACCGGGCCCACGCACGACGGCGAAGGGAGCGCGCCGAGGGCGTTGGGGCAGAGCCGGGCGGCGGCCTCGGCGATCACAAAGAGAATGGCCTCCATGCTCCACTTCTCTGAACTCGAGAAGCGCCCTGCAAGGAGCGCGTGGGCCGTCAACACGGGCTCTGCGATTACTTCTTCATTAGAGACTCGCAGAGACAAGGAGGCGGGGATGTCTGCGGGCAGCGGAGCGCGGAGAGGGAAAGGAAGGGGAGCTGCTGCCACGTGAAGGGGCGCAGAAACTGCCAGAAAGGTGAACCGGGGCTCTAGGGCTCCGGAGGAAGAGCCGGAGGGGGCAGCCGAGGGCTGCGAGGTCGCTGAAGCAGGCAGACCGGAGTAGGCTGGGTCCGGTTGGAGAGGCAGCCCTAACTTCGCCTAACGACAGGACGCGGTCCTCCTCTGCAGTCAACGGCTCGGACAGGTCCCTAGGGACCCACAGCCGCCTGCTCCTCCCGGGGAGGTGTCGGGGGCGGGAAATAGCCTCGGGGTGTTGCGCGCGGCTCCCGCGGAGCTGCCGCCTTCCTGGGGCATCCTTCCCTCCGCGGCCTGTGAGAAGCGCCCCCGGGTGGACCCAGACGCCCCGTGACCCCTTCTCCGCTCCCTCCGGACCCAGAAGAGCGACACAAAGCCAGGGAGTGGAAATTTCTCCCTTGTGAGCCTCCCCGCCAGTCCTCCGCACCACCCGTGGCGACTAAAGTGGGGACCTGGCCCTGAAACTGACCCGCGAACCTTGGCAACGGCACGGTGACTTGCTGTACTGAGTCTGGGGAACAAAGTCGCGTCTTCCTTGCCGCGAGCATCCGCGATTGCTGTCCCCCACCATCTCCCCGCCTCCCCTGCCCCAGAAAACTCGACCGCCCCGGACTGCGTGTGGCGGGACAGAGCGGGAAGAAGGGACCAAGCGCAGCTGCCAGCGGGCCCGCCCCTCTTTGGGCAGCGGCCCCTCCTTGGGCAGCGCCCTCCTGTCCCTCACCCTCCCAGAGACTTCAACCCCAGGATGCGCGTGCAGAGGAGCTAGTGAGGGCAGCCCCAAGCACAGAGACTGGTGCTGCTAGGTCCCTCCAGTCTCCATGCACGACGCAGATGGGGGGTGGGGGTGGAGGAAGAGCCCATACTCACAGCCTCTCGGTGTTGCGGGGGATATTCCTGGGCACGCTGCGCAGCGCCAGCCCGTGACAGTCCACTGTGCTGCCCGAGCAGGAGCATTGCGCCGGACACGCTTGAGACGCCACCTCGTTCAGGATCGCCAGCATTAACCCCAGAGACAGGGACAGCGTCTGCCAGCCGACGCCGCGCATCTTTCCTTGCCGCCCCCTCGCTCGCCAGTGCCGGGGGTTTCTTTTCAGCACGTTGCTCGGCGCAAACTGCGCTGTGGCTGAGGCCCAGTGTCTGGTGCAGGGCTAGCAACCCAGAGGGTCCGGGTAGATGTGCACAAAATAATATGGAAGTAACAGTTATAATATTCAAGGTAGAAGAGCTGACACAGGTACACGCCTCCCACCTCCCCTCCACCCTCCTCGAGCAAGGCAGGCGCTCCTTGGGCAACTTTAGGTCCTGAAGATTAATCTGCCTGGCCAAGGTTGCAGGAAGACCCCAGAGCAGCCGACAGGAGATCACGCGTCGCAAAGATCAACTTGGCGGTAAAAAAAAAAAAAAAGCTGGAGCTTCCAATAGCAGCGAAAATGCAGGAGCCAGTTGCGCGGGGAAGGGGGCTGCTCGGATTCCACGACCCCCTCTGCAAATCCGATTCCGGCGGGGAGGGTAAGAGGCAGAAGAAGGGGTCTCAATAGGAATGGTGGCCTTGATTAAAGTGGGCTCTCGGAAGCTAGAAGGCGCAGGAGCCCCGTGGGCCGGGAGCCGAGCGCGCCGGGCGATTGGGCATGGCGCTCGGGGGCGCACGGGGCGGCGCGCAGCCCGGGGGGCGCAGGGAGGCGCTGCGCTGCGCCCAGCGTGGCTCACTCACGCGGCTTCCCCCCCGGCCTGTGGCTCCTCGGCAGCCCAGACCGGTCTTCGCCGTCTCCCGACAGCCCAGAGCGGTTTGCAAATACACATGCACTTCACTGAATGATGTCTCCACAATCCCGCCTCCCGCCTGGCGTCCTTGGCGACGCTCCGCACCGGGGCCTTCCCCGAGGTCAAGCAGAAAAGACAAAAGGGCAATGGGGCCGCCGCAGCCGGCAGTGATATCCACTAGTCAGGACCCTGGCAGAGGAAATCCAAGAGGCCAAGTTGAGGACCAGAGCTTCTGCAAGGACTGCAGGGAGCTGCTGGCAGGCCCGCCTGAAGGAGTGGAAAGGTCAAGGTGGAAGTGTCCTCTTCCTGGGTCCTGCCGGGGTGTCCTGGGGAGATGGCGAGGTGGCAGTTGGGCCAGTGGGACTCGTTACTCCGAAGAGAGCCCAGGAGGCAGCTAAATGGCAGTCCCGTGTGCGCGCGTGTCAGCCCCTCTCGTCTCCCGGATACGGCGCAGCTCCGCAGCAGACACCTGATGGCAAAGGTAGAAGAAACAAGAGCAGGCTCCCGGGCAGGCGCAGCCCCTCGCCCCCCCTCGACAGCCGCCCACAAGTGGGTCCTCCTTTTCAAAGTGCAGGAACTTTTCCCAGGCTTTGAATCCGGCCAGCCACGGCCACGGTGGGAGTCCTGCCGACGTCGCGACGCCGAGCTCCTGGCGCTGCACCTGACTCGGCGTCCGCAGTCCCGGGCAGCCTGTCTCCTTCTGGCCCCTTCACCTCTCCCGGCGGCTTCCGCTTCTCCTTCTCCAGGGAGGGAAGTGAAGGAGAGGAAAGGCGGCGACGGGAGCGGGGACTCGGTGGCTCTGCTGACTCCCGATCTCCTGGCAAGTCTCTAAACAATAGGACGGACGAGGCAGCCCTAGTCTCTTTCGGCTGCGGGAAGGTGGATTGCTGGTGTAACTGGAGTTGTTCACTTGGGCTGCCTGGCGCTTAGCGCAGCGGAACAAAAACCTGCCCCGCGCCCCTGGAGCCGGTTTTGGGCCCCCGGACGCTCCTCTTTCTGCTCAGCACTCCCGCGGTGCCCAGAAAGCTCGGCAGCTCCCGCCTGCGCCGCGGAGCCACGACGCTCCCATCCCTCGCCGCTGCCGCCGCCTTTTTTTAACCACCGTCTGCGGCAGCCACAGCCGCCGCCGCCACCAGCGCCGCCGCCGCCGCCGCCACCAGCTTGCGCGGTCCGCACGCTCCCCAAATAAATAACCCCAAGTCAGAAGTTAAGCCGGCGCCGGCCTTATATACCCACCCAAGCCCCCACCCCCTCAGCCCCGCCCCGCGCCGCCCGGCACCGCCCACTGACTGAGCGCTGGGAGCCCGCACCTCGCTGGGGAGAGGTGAGGCCCCGGCTGTCTGCGCCAGGCGGAGGCGGCGGCGGGTGGCGCGTTCCCGCGCGCCTCGGCTCGCGCCCTTGCTCCCACGCGCAGTAAAGTTTGCTGGAGGAACGAGGTTCCCCGACCCCAGTTCCAGGGCCCCCCAGAGGTGACCCAGGCTCGGAGACGGTGGTTCGCAGTAGGGGAAGGGGGAGAGGGCGGCTTTGAACGCGACTCCTAGACAGCCCTGCCAGTCAGAGCCTCTGCTGCAGCCTTTGCCTCGCGATCCTAAGGGGGCTGCTCAGTGTTCGCAGTGCAGCAAGAGAGAAAGAGATTATGATTTAAAATTTTTAAAAAATTCTACCGAAATAGATCTGCCCGCGCTCACAGACACACACATGTGTATTTTGGGGAGCTTAAAAGTTCAGAGTTTTTCCAAGTTGGAAACGGCGTTTTTCAACCTTCTAACCAGCCTTTCCATTTCCGAAACACCCCCTTCCGTTTAACCCTTTCCTTATAATCACAGACTTGACAACAACCTGCTCAGTTGATGTCTTGAATATTTAATACACTCACAAAACTCCAAGGGTGTGATTGAATACGTGTGTGAATTTACTCACTTAGGAGGGAAAAAATAAATTCCTAGCAACACACATTGTACCAGAAGGTTTGCTTTATTTCAGGGAAGTTAGGGATATTTTTTTCCTCACTATGTTTTGGAAGAGAATTTCCTTGTTTCTTTTTGTCCTTTTAGTGTGATGTGTGTCTGGCAACCGCTACCCCTCTGCAGCCCTCCATCCCCAACAAAACCACAGTCACTCTTGGTTTGAATTGACACATAAATTGGCTGACAACTTTGCATGAATTTAAATGCCTCACCTAGCCCTTCCTTGTCCCATTCCACCAGGGCTTTCACAGAAATGGGTGCAAACCCCTGGCCTAATGCCGGTCTTGCACTGTGATAATTATTTGTGTAACTATCTGTCACCTACTTGAAAGAAAGAGGATCTGTCCAATTCCTTTTTTATTTCTAGTATATATGCGGTACACATCGCAGGAACTCTGAAATTGACCGACTTCTTTAACACAATAATACCCTCATTTAGGAATTTCTCGAGTATCCCCATTAACTTTATTCCTACCTAAGTTTTTCAGAATGTCTTTTCATAATGGCTACCCCTACCTATGCCATTTTGCCTTCCCTTGAAAACTGGAAGGCCATTTTGAACACATTTCCAGACACAGGCTACTCATTAGGTCACTGAATTGGAACTCTTAGGATATTAATTTTAATGTCATAGGTTGACGCTGCTCTGTTCTTTTAAAGACTTCAAAACATTTAACACTTTTTAACTTATTTGCCCTCCTAGAGTTTTACCTTAAAGTTCTGTTATGTAACTTCCTTAAGAAAGTGGAAGTCGTGGTCAGATTTTCTTAAAAGGACAATTAGGTGAAGAACAAGTATCTGTCGTTGATGAAGAATTCTTCCAACCACCTCTGTGCCTTTCTACCCCCAATGAATTTTCCTTAGTCTGTAACAGTAAATTATGCGGTTGAAACACGTTTACCACTGCACTAATTTACCGATTTTACAATCATGATACTTCATCAGTAACAAGATATATTTATGTTCAACTTTATCTACCACATAGAATCATTGCTCTATATTTTAATTGTAAAAACATATCCTATATTTCATTCTTCATAACTAATGCTATTTGTATCATTGCACAATGCAAGTCACAGACATGAGTTCCAGTTTCAATTTTTTACTTTCCATTCTGCGGAAAACAGAGAAAAGAACTGGAAATAGCTTTGAGAGTGACAGGCCTACAGAAACATTTTTTAATTTGATGCAAATCTAAATAAGAAGGCATGTCCAATGAATTTCATTAAGGAAAAAAAAAGTAAGACTGCAACTAATCTATGAGAGACATGGCACATTAATGTCTTTGTGTCATCAGCTTTTCAGTTAACAAACAGGAAGTTGTACGAGTGACCAGATTTCTCATTTTTTACAAATAGTATTTGTATTATTTCATCAATATTATCAAGGTGTGTTTTCTGGAGACCTCACATTGCATCAGTACCATTAACTTCTAGGTCTTAATTCTACGTTGTTCCCAAAGGAGCCCTGAGACCCTCTCTGACTATTGCACCCATCACAAAGGAAACCTTTTGTGGTGCCTCTTGTCACCACGTGAGGTCTCTATAAATCCTGACCTGGATTAACCAGAAGTGGAATCCACTAGGGTCAAAATTCAAGTCTCCTATTACGTTGAGGGGGGAAAAAAATCAAGTTACTAAAATAATTTAGAAAGCAATTTAGGTACTTAAAAGCCCATATAGCTTCAAAAAAAAATAAAAAAGCAAACATTCTCTCAATTTGCATTTTCTTTGGAGAAAAAGAGTTTGTGAAATTGGGATATAGGGGGAGAAAGGAAAGAAGAGAATTGATTTTTAAAAAAGGTAAATAGTAAAAACAAAGGTAAATCATAGTAATAGCATTGATTACGTTCATGAAACTTACAGAACGATTCCATAACTACTTTTGTGCTACAATCTTTCATGGTTACAAAAAATATTCATGTTAATTATAATTTTTTTCACAAAGTCTCTATTGAAAATATAGATACGGAACCCTAAAATCATTGAAGATTAAGATTTAACTAAAATTTGTTTTATTCTTCCTAAGTGCCAAGCTGCTTGATAGGGTTAAAACCCAGAGTGTAATCCTAGATGGTTGCTGTTTCATTTGTTGTTCAGGTGAGGATGCTGGTCTTCAGCCAGGTCTGATTAAACGGCAGAGCTCAAACCGGAACCTGAGTCCTCTCACCTCAAATCTCAACTCGTTCTCCTACAATCCCCTCTGTCTATAGAACCTCTGAAACTCCCCGGGGTTAAGGAATCTCTGGTTGGTCAGAAACTGTCACCCTCAGACAAAAGCTGTTCACTTCTCTGCACACACTGTTTACGGTCCTCTAAAGGGAGCAGGAGGGGAAGGGTACCCATGACCAGGAGCACTCCAAGGATATTGAAACCCCACCAGCTTCTGCAGCTGGTTTAAATGTCGAGATGATTCTCTCCGTGACTGGTTCTCAGAGTGTGGCGCCTGGACCAGCAGCATCAGAAACACAAGGAACTGCAAGTTAGAAATGCAAATTTTCAGGCCCCACCTCAGACCCACATAATCAGAAGTTCTAGGGTTCTAACCAAGCCCTCCAAGTGGTCTTGATGCTCACTGAATTCTCAGAGCTACTTCTCTGGAGCTTCTCTGTGGTTGTGTCTGAGCCATCGAAGTACAGAGAATGGAGCTCCCAGTGAAGGATAGGTAGCACCTGCTGGACTGGCTGGCTTCAGCTTCTCCTTCCCAGGCATTAAACAATGCACGCTCTTGATAACCTCTAGGGGGCACCAAAATATTTTCATGCACAGCCCACAGAGGCAACGGAGAGCTTAGGCTCCTTTCCCAAAGCCATGGCCTTGAAAAGTGGAAAGAGCCTCCATCTCAGCAAGCTGCTCTAAAAACCATTTCTCAGCCAGTTAAAAAATTTATTATATTTTTTTTCAAGTTAAATGTTACCTATAAATGGGAACAACAATACTTACTTTTCATTATTATTGTGAAGATTAAGATGATATCTCTCAAATTCACAGTACAGTGTCTGGCATAAATCTATGTGCTCATTAAATAAAGGGCAATATCATTATTTTATCATGACTCCTATTAGTAATAAATGAACATTTCTAAAATACTTATTTTCAACGTGAGTATGGATTAGATATTTGAATGAACTATTACTATGACAAGCAGTTTCTTGTTCGGAGCCCTGGGAAACGCTGGCATGGGTGGGGCTGAGGCTATACTTTAAGAAGATCGAGCCCTGCCCAGACCTACAGTATTTCATGAACCAAAGAATGGAAATGGATAAGAGTGGTTTCATGATAATGATACCCCGTAATACTCTTTTGAAGGGGTGGAGTCTGTTTTCCACTGCCACAAAATAGCTTGTTGGAGGTTTAGTGAAATTAAAATGAGAAGTTTGAAACCTAGCTGTGCTGTTCAGTGGGAATTCTTGGGAAGCTGTGAAGATATATCACTTCGATTTTTCTGGCCTCTGTCTTTCTCATTTATGTAGTGTTGGGATTAGACCGGTTGAACCACAAATCCTTCCCAGTTCTCAGTAATAATATAACTAGTTATTCAGTAATGTCTGCATTTCAAACACTGGATGATCACTTATATGGCTAAGTTCTTTTAATTCTCACAACAATCCCCTGAGTTAGAGTTTATTTTTATCCCCCACTTACAGTTAAGAAAACTGGGACTCACAGGAATTTATTCAATTGGTCACGTTCATATAGCTAGTAAGTGGCAAAGTAGGAATCAGTATTTTCATATGACACCAAATCCTAGTTTATAAA